AAGACCTTACCAGTAATAACGACATTAACAAAAGCATGTCATTTGAAATTCAATATAAATTAATTATTTGTGACTTACAACTGACTTTATTAGGTTATGACGTCACTTGATTATTAACATTTATCTTACTTCGTTTAGCCATGCAAAAAAAATAAGCTAAAAATCTTTAATTGGATAATAATAACGGGCATATCCCACTTCTGAAATGTAAGGTTAATCCTTCAATAAGCTATATTGAGATTGTTATTATAATAAAAACACATGGTTACCTTGTAATTACACTTTTATTGCTCCTTGTTCGTAGAAAAACTCCACAATCCACCAACAACACTTTTTCCGTCCTACCTCGTTGCAAGCTGGATCAAGAATCCCGCCTTTTAAATTATATCGGTCTTTGTTCCTTCAGTGTTGCCACTCTAATCCATAAATTATATTAAAAGTATTGACAGACGAAATTATTATTCTTATTCAAAATTATGGTAATTATTAATGTAGATTAATTTAAACCTAACACTTGACTATGTACCTACGCGCCCAACAAAATATCAACTTTACCAGGTCAGTAATAGACCGAGTCCGCTAACTTAATTCCAGTAAACTCTACATATTCTACTTTTTCGACTTTCTTACATGGAGGAAATGAAGCGATGGATTTCAGTACATGGCTTGAAATATGTTTGTTCATTGAGTCTCGATCTAATTTTAATAATTACCATAGCTTTAGAGACTAAGCTACGTTCTCACCCCACACCTGAAATTCTGCAAGTATCTTCAGACGTACCTTTTATTCTTTTTTTTGACATTTTGAAACGCGTTATGCCTAGTCGGTCATCGGTTTACTAGTGCGAGACGGAAAATTTCCTCTCCTACTTCACTACCAACCGTCCAAGTCCCCCAGCCGGCCGAAGCTAGCAAAGGAAGGTAACCTTTACGGATACGAGGCCTCTAGTACAGTGGCACTTACGTACTCCGTCGTCCGGTCCTCACAGGAGACATAGGGCATATTTGGCTACCACCAGGAATCAAAAGCCCGCGGCCCCACACAATCAATCAATCAATCATGTGTAATTGTATTTGTGTATATGTTAAATATAATTTGTATAGTGTGAGCGAGTGTATGTGTGTAAGTATATTTGTATAAGTGAATGAATGAATGCATGTGTGTCTATATTGTGTGTCTTGACTCCGGGACCGAGGAACCTGTTGAGCAGGCTTTTCCCGGCGACCCGGGGGCGATCACTGGCATCTTCAGACGTACCTATCTCAACACAAGGCTCTGTTTCCATTGATGAGCTATTAAACCTGTTTGAATTGACCTTGACAACATTAACCTGCGCACTTTCTGTAATACCATTGAGATGGAAAAGCGTATTATGACGACGATTAGCTTACATCTGCCATAAACATCTGCCATATAGGCTTTAGCTCCATAATTGAAACCTAAGCGATTGTAACATAAATTATTAGTTTGGACGAAATTACGTCATTGATCGACAGACAGATTTTGGCACATTAGAAATGCTCCTTTCCGTAATAACAATCATTGTATTGCGATAGGTAACTGACCGCAAACATTATATGTGGTCTTGTAGCAATCGCAAGATACATAAATGTACCGATCATATTTTTATACGGTAGGTTATCCCCCTCTTTCTTGGGGTTCTTCATGAGGCAGATACCATGTTCTACTGACGTCATTGAGGCTTTGCATTGAGCCATGCTAAATATTTTGAGTGTTTTCTTAATATATGGCTCTTGGCGTAGTTTGATAATTTTGTCATTGTATGTGAAATCAATTCCGAGAAGTCTTTTGGGTTCATCCATATCTTTTAACTCAAACTGTTTTGATAACAACGCTTTTATATGTTTAGCGGTTTCAGGATTTGAGTAACATAAAAAGCCATCAAAATGTCATCCACGTAGATCGTTATGACAGTTTTATCTTCTCCTTTAATTGATATGTACACACATGGATCAGCAGATGAAGTTTCGAATCCACTTTTTAAAAGTTCAGTGTCCAATCTTTCAAACTACTGACGTCCTGTTTGCTTTAATCCATATAGCGTACTTTGTAGTAAACAGGCTTTATCACCTTTTATATCTTTCAGATCTTGAAGATTTTTTCTAGCTTTGTTACATACAGTCCGATCTTCTTTATCTATTTCAGCTATCGTCACCTCTGATACAAATTGATCTAGACATTCTGGAACTTTCATTGTAATTCGTTGATTTAGGTCAGCATTTAGATATGCTGCCAATGGATGTACATTGGACATAAATCTGTCTTCTTCTAATGCCATTCACACAGTATTGCCATGCCACATGTGCAAAATTTTCATTATAGTTTACCCCAGGTTTTTAGGTTAAACCTTGTGCGACTAGTCTGGCCTTTATGGTTTCATTTTTTGAGTCATATTTCTTTTTTAGAATAATTTTGAATCCGATTACCTTAATTTTTAAATTGCGATCTAATATTTCACTATTAGTGGCATAAAAAAACTACAGACGTTATCAATCAAAACTATTTTATGTCGTGTTTAAGGTCATAAAAAACCAGGAACCTGCCAAAACTTCAATTTATACTTGCATGACAAATTGAAGGTTTTGAACCCCGAAATATGGTATGAGGTCTGCCCCGTCTGCTCTTGCCTATTACCGTCACCACACAGTGGCATTTAGTTTTCGTTTCCAGGCTACAAAGTGCTGGAATGATCTACCATTGAAAGAGCTTACTTCGATATATACTTTCAAAAAAGACTTGAATCCAAGTTGCTCGAGCTTCTAAAAGTATGCTTGATTAGGTGTATGGTTGATTTCGCTTAACTACCATGTAAGTTATGATATAAGTAGTTATATTGTGATTTTATTATTATGATTATTATTTTACGTGATTTCTCAACTTGATGCTGGTTAGTTTTATGTAATAACGGGCACTAGCCAAGTTATTGCAGTATTCATTTTTTTAAATCTTTTTCATGTTCTTCGCACTGAATGATTATATTATTATTATGTTTTTTCTCTAAGCAAATGCTGGTAGTGAGAGCTGACTACGGGCTAGGCCAAGTTAGTCGGCTCTTTGTGTACTGTTTCGGGACTATTGTTATTATTTTTATAAATGTATTATTCTTATTTTTTGACATTGACTGATGACATTATAATTGTATAATGATATTTTGTGTCTATAATCTGATGAATGTTTGATTATTTATCATCATCATCATCATATTCATCATCACCCGCCCTTTTACGGCCACTTCAGGGGCTCTGGCCGTCCTTATGGATGGTTAAGGAGGATAGGCCATGACCTTCCACGCTGGCCCAATGCGGATAGGAGGGTATTAACGACTTCAAATGCAGCTTGGACTAACAGCTTAACGTGCCTTCCGAAGCATGAAGTAGCTCGAGATAAAATTTTTTGGTCACCCATCCTGTGACCGACCCTTGCGAAAGTTGCTTAACAACAACGATCGCGGGCCGCGGCGCTTATCCTCTACGCCATCGAGCTACTTATGTTATTATAAATCAAATTATTCTTATTTCGACTTTATTTAATGTATCTTATAACTGTCTTTTGCTATAGTTTTCTTTTTTTTGTCGTGTATTTTTGGTTATATTCTTTGTTAATTTCTGCCCCGCTCACCTTGACTGGGTGATGGCTGAAAATCGGCGCATCGCCCGTTCCTGTGTGATTTAGATGCACCGAGCCTTGACCCTTTTCTACCTGCCACACATAGGTACATAATAATTAATGATTTATTTGATTTAACTTTTTTCTGCGATTCAAAACTTTGTCGATGTAACTGTGTATAGTTATTAATTATAAATGTTTTATCTATGTATCTATCTACTATGGTCTTATCTATGAATCTATCTACTATGGTCTTATCTATGTATCTATCTACTATGGTATTGCCGAAGGTATTAGCGATGGTTTCGGGAGGTCGAATATCGTGCCTTGCTGGCTGATTACCAACAATTTAAAACATATAATATGTTTAACAATTATACCACAGTAACTTGTACCAATATTCATCAATCAACAAACTTTTCAAATAATTATTTTTTTTGTACTTTATCCAAATTGACGTTATTATGGATCAATGAAGTGAGCAAATCCCTAAATGTGGTCCATTCTGTATAATTGCCAGAAAACGTGGGAATTTCAATTTTAGACAATTTAAATGGTTCTGGCCTACTAAAAATATTTGATTTGAGATAGGACATAGATTGCTTTTTATTATGATAAAAAAAGTTGAAAATAGCGATTTAAAGATTTTACGGAAGTTCATCATTGTCACAGATAAAATCGTGAAACTTTATATTTAGGTATGAATAGTATTTGTTTTAGCATTTTTAGAAATGCTGTCCATAGTAACTTTACCGCGGACGAAGTCGCGGGCAAAAGCTAGTATATAATGAATAGTAAAAATAAATAAATATATTAGGATAATATAAAGTAAATATTACATATTATATTATACACTTAGTTTCAATTTGGAATAACAGATCAATACTGTACTGCCCTTGTCGAACTGGTTTTTTGCACATATCAAAAGACAGAAACGTTTTTTTTTATAAATCTCATATCTGACATAGAATTCTATCTTCACAAAATTGATTATTAATTTAATTAGATTTTTTTTTATTAAAAATAAAGAGCATATTACGACTCAGTATTTCTAGATGAATAAAGTTTAAATACTACTATTTACAGTTGGTATTTTGTTCACAGAAATGGTGATCTTTGGATGAACGTTGTAAACTTCGATTAGGACATGGAAGTAATGGAAGATAATGTTGACTTGTCGATACTACCTACAATCTATGAATACTACGAGTCTTCTTCGTCTGACAATACACCTGATTGCTGTATGGCAGCAATCAAAAAGAAGGGTTGCTTTGGTAGAAAACTAAAAGATAAACAGAACGAGTCTAATATGTCTCATTCACAGGAGTCAGTTGAGGTCATCTGAGAACAACCCAAAGCAGTAAAAACTGCAATGAAAATTACCAAAAACATAAAAAAGAAAGTCCGATTTTTTAAAAACGGTAATAAGCCTGAAGTGTGTATAATTGACGATTCTGATTCACCAGTGCATTCGGTATCACTACTACCAATGTTTTTCGACGAAGAGCACCTGTTATCTTGGGACCACGGCGACCACCATGAAGCATTTATAAACAAGGAGTTCCGATCGCGGCCACAACGACAAGAACGACAACGCACTGGGATTGCGATGATGTCTCCAAACTTTTGTCAATTCATGGAAGATTATTTTGATTATGACGCAAATTTTAGATGTGAATCAGAAGAGCAGCAGGAGATAGAATGTGTAGTAGAAGTGCACGAGCCACCCGTCGGAAAACACTCGCCTACGTGTTCTCAGTCACTTCAAAGTCCATCGCCACAGCTAACGCGCCAATCATCATCAGGCCGGCCGTCTATCCAGTCGCTATCGAATCCTTCTTCACCAACTCCACTACTGGCTGACTCAATGTCATCGTCACTTTATCGGTCGTCCTCATTACCAGCAATGTCAACATATCGCTCGTCTGATGATGAAAGAGGTGAATTTTCACCAATGCAATCACCTCCGTCTCAATTACTTGATGATTCCTCAATCTATTCATCGCCAGTATCAATACTTGAAACGTCGCCAATCCACTCGCCTCCACCGGCTTTTGTTGATAAATTAGCAATCTCAGGACCTTTATCAAATTTACAAGCTGAACCACAGGTATACTCACCTCCACCACTGATACACTCACCTCCACCATCTTTCACTGAAAGGTCAACGACGCAGGTATCTCCACCACCTTTTCTTAGAATATCACCAATCCACTCGCCTCCACCAGCATTTTCCGAAAAGCTCTCAGTCCAGCGAAATTTGCCACCATATGCTGGTTTATCATCGACTCATTCACTGCCCACATCATTATATAAAAAGACGCCAATCTACTCAGCACCACCAATACTTAAATCAATACCAATTCAAGTACACCACCCTCGTGTTCCTAGATCACAGCATTTGCCACACTTATCGCCGCGTGTATCGTCACAATGTGACTCACCACCACACAGTTCCCCGATCCTATCAGCATATTTCGCATCCCATATAACCACCGTTCCACCTTTGCCGGGATCGACTTCTTGTTCGTACCCGTGCGGCTTATCGTCACTACCATCTGTAGTGACGCAATATCATTCATCGCTAATGTCACCTGCGTCGACTGGACGGCGTTTATCACCGATGACTTTTGTACAGTCACCAAACCGCTCATCGCCGACGTCAACGAGATATTCTTCACGACGCTCAACAATAGCGTCTTCAGAGATGTCATCGCTCTGTCCGTCTCTCCAACCACGGGTTTGTTGTCGGTCGTCACAAACGTCACCGCCAGACCTTTGTCGTCAGTCGACACAAACGTCCCAACCAGATGTTTGTGATCAATCGTCACAAACGCCGTCATCATATATTTTCCAGCGGGAGTAAAGTACGTATTCTCCAGTACCGTCGCCGTCGCCACCATCACCTGAACCACAGGCCATGCAACCATATAGCTACTTGATCCAAGAAGTAAATGGTTCCAGTATATACTTGCGCATCGAGAAAAATCTTAACTACGCAGGCGTCCTCGCTGAGAATTTTCTACTGTTCTATTTTGCACGGTAAGTGTTAGACAATAAAGGAAACTTAAAAAATACAATTTTAACAGTAAAAAAAATAATATTTTTATTCTAGCTGTTTCATCGCCCGTGTAAAATATAGCCTATGTCACCAGCGTTTGCAACAGATTTTATTAATTAAAGTAGGTAAAAAAAATATATAGAAGACTCTTGGATATATCGCATTATTCTAAGATAAATATATTTTTTCAGTTATTAAACTTTTTTAAATCTTTTTTGAATTTTATATCTCATCGTAAAGCTATATTTGTGAAAAGTATGTCAACAATATTATTAATTCTCCCAAGTAACTTGATTAAAAACAAAAACGTTGATATATTTTCGATATTTACCCGACTGCGTGACGCAAAGGAGGGTAATGTGTTTATCAGTCTATGTATGTTTGTTCCTATGTGGCGTTCTAGAGACCAAATGCGTAGGCCGATTTTGATGATTCTTACGTCAATCGATTCGTTTTAACCTTGCGAGTATCATTAGAGACATGACAGTAATCAAAATTCACCACAGCGACAACCAGATGCCGTTTTGTCTAAATGAAAAAAAAAATCGATGAACTATGTCAAGTGGGGTGTCAATTGAATGGGTATTTTAAAATCATCTTTAGGTTCTTTCGGGGCCTCTTGGGAAGATTTGATTGACAAAATTTGAATGGGCCCCGACTATGAGTCGTTCTGTTCTGTATTACTTAACAGAATTCTAAACTACTGGGCTTGTTTCCATCTTTTTAGTTTTTATTTAAGTTAATCCTTTCATGTATTTTTTTAAATTCATTTTTACGCAGTCGGGATTTTTGTTTTTCTTAAAATTAATTATTTTTTTAATAAAATCCTCAAGGTCCATCAAATGAAATAAATAATTATCAGAAAGAGAAAGAAAAATTATATTAATAACTTTCACTTGGTCGTATGATAAAATAACATCCAAATAAGCTGTATAGCAACCATACCATAACAACTGTGATAACAACCATTGTTTACAAAACAATTTCTTATTTTAATTATATTCCATATAATCCTTTTCCAAATCAATTATTAAACGATTGAAGCTGTTTACGCATTAAATAATGTTTTGAATAATTTCAATCGGTATAATGTTTGTAGCTAATATTAAGTGCATATGTTATATTGGTTATGTACACGAAAATGTTACATTTTGCTACCTCTACTGGACACTAGATGACGCTGCTGTACTTTTTGATTTTGATTTTTGTCATGTTTATAGTCTTATTTTTTTTAGCATTTTGTAGTATTTCCAATAAAATTAATTAAATAATTAAAATTTAATGGGGAATTGTTAATCTGGCGTAATAATAAAATGCTATGATTAGCAGTTTTTGCTAGGTGACGCTACTGTTTTTTAAAACGGGTGTGTTTGTTTGTTTGACTTAGAATTGTATGTACAAAAAAGATATTTGTAATTGTAACACAAGATTTCCTAGTAAATAACATTGGCCATTTATTAGAACCGACTATCTTAAGAGAGACTCGTATGATATCAATGAGGATATTTAATAATAATATACAGGATGAACTAAAATTGTTGCTACAAAAAATATTTAAATCACGTTTGAAAATATGATTAGATGACAAATATTTCTATTCAGTAAATGAGAACATTTTAATTGAAAGAGACATGATAGTTAAGTTATTGGATATCGGAATATGAGATGCTTTTATTGGTTTTTATTTTTAATTTAGTAGTCGGTTAGATTACCTATATTTCCATAATCTTTGCTTTATATTTAAATGAGAATTATGCGTTTTTTCGCTTTACAAACTAATTTAAATATTTTTCTTTGCTTATATTCACAAGACAAATAATTGTAAAACTAAAGAGGTTTCCATTATTTGGGTCTGCTGAAACAATACAACATTAATTTATATTTGTGCTTAAATAACGTGAAATAATGTAGAGTTTTTTTTTAATGAAACATGTGTTTTATTTGCAAAATAATTAGCCTAAAACGAACAAAAACAAATCACGTTTGTTGTATGAGAGTCCCCTTAAATATATATTATATTGTATTGTTATTTAAGCGGCAACAGAAGTAGGTATATCATCTGTGAAAAATCCGACTGTTCAATTTTCACGGTTCATGTCTGGTGACAGACAGCCAAGTCTTAGCAATAGGGTTGTCATTTTACCCTTTGGGCACAGAACCCTAAGAATTATGCTGCCGCAGGTTACAACTCCACGCGGACGAAGTCACAGGCGCAGCTAGTTAAAAAGACTGTCACAGTCATAAGAGGAAATTATAAAATTTTCACACTAAGAAAAAATCAAAAATTACTACTAAAATTCACAATTACTCGAGTGCCTTTTTAGAAAAAACTTATAGATATGTGAATCGCTTTGTAAGTGGTTCCTACATGTTATACTTCAAGTTGCAAACTGAAAACAGTTTGTGACGCTAATCGCGATCCTCTCATCTATATCTATCTTATTGCTGGGCACAATTGCAATAGACAAAGCGTTTACGTTCCCTGTAACAAAACATTTATATTTATACGCATCATGTAGATTAGAACCACCGTATTACTTATTAAAATATAAATTTAAAGAATTCCTACAAAAAAATTAAGTTAGAGTTTCTATATATCTCTTTACATTATTAATGTTGATTTTAATAGGCCAACCAACAAGACACAAATTATTTAGTAGTTTCAGCGCCTATTCGATGCAAACAAGCAAACGAACAGACAAACCATAAAACCTTCCCTCTAACGAATTTTAGTGTATCGATGTGTACACTTACATATCCACGTAGATAAATACACTAAAATTCTTAATTATCGAATATAAACCTATTTTTTGTTTCGCAGGTATCCCGGTTTTCGTAGTTTGTACATAAACAGAGCCAGGTCCGTTATAAAAGTATATTACGTGCATAGATGCCTGGAGAAAATTACTATTCCTGAAGCACAATACAATTCCTACTTATACGATGAAATCAACGAGCCGGATGGACCCTGTTTCCATTGCTGCTTTCCTTTTTCGTGGCGTAGAAGAAATTTACGTAAGTAAAATAGACATACAGATAGAATAGACATATTTATTAAATGGATGTATACCTTTAAAATAAGCGTGACAAGATCACAATTTTAAACTAATAGAATTAAATAAGATATTTAAAGATTTAATAATATCCACCGAAGTCGTTAGTTGTTGTTATTAAATTATAAATAATGCTATAAGTGATATGAATATAGTGAGAATTATACCTACAACGGAATCGAACTGTGAATACGTTATTTCGAAATTTAATAAGACATGTCTTTATAAAATAGGTCGGGGATAAAGTTTCTTCCTAACCAGTGGCGTAGCGTAGTGTTGGTAGAGGGGCGGGGCAGGGGGGCGCTCCGGTCGGCACTATTTTTAACGTAACTATAAATTCGGACCGAATGAAAAGAGCACGGAAAATTTCCTTACTTTTTCTGTCATGAATGAGTATTTAACAAAAAAGAAAGCGTTAAAAAAGCACCTCACTAGATGATGACTCTAGCAAAAGTTGATTTTTGCAGGAAATGAATGGACCAAAGAGAGTCTTTTCCGTTCCTTTTAACTTACATATTAAAAACTGATATTTGCAAAGTTTGAAACTTAGATATCATTACAAATACGAAAAAAGTACAAATAGAATATGAGTTGTTTATTGAGTTTTGAAAATTAATTTACTTTTATACGTGAAAGAAAACCGGAAGGGTTGTAATGGAGAAATCAAGAAAGTATTGTAGCGACATCTAGTTTGAATTCGGGAACTATTTTTTTGTTTAATACTTCCTTAATTAGAGCATACTCTTTCTTTAAATGATATTTTGTAGCGAATGACAACACCATCTATACTGACTTACGGGGTGTCCCCATATTTTATTTTGTGCTTGGATTGTTTATGTCTTATAATAAGCATGAATGACTTCTATTACATATATATTAAGTTCAATATTGTTTATAACGTCCCTTTAAGAAAGTACGTGATGCTTTGACGATTCAAAGAAAGTTTGATTAATGGATCTTCAGTTGTTTAGTTCATTTTTTCTTTATTTCAAATCTTTTTTGTTTTTAAAAGACAAGCCCGCTTTTTAGGATGCAAGTCCTTTGTTGCGAGGGACAAAGTACACCCAGACCAAGTACAATTATTTGTAAATCACACGAAAAAATGTCCTTTTATAGGGATCGAACACACACTCGATCCGTGGGCAGTTGCTTAGCGACATCTAACCTGTTTAATGCAAAATAATGATGACACTTCTAGCCGAAAAAAACTTAAAAATTAATGTATATAATGTTTACTATAATTATGTAAAATACCTAATTAAGAGGGGCATTAAAATTGTCTTCCGCCCCGGGCGGCAAACACCCACGCTGCGCCACTGTCCCTAACCTAATATATCACCGTAAAATAAGCAAAATCAATAATATTATTATACCTAATTGATATTTATAAGTTTGGTTTAAATTAATATTGCATTCAGTGCAACTATATTGGTATATTTCGATTAGATAATCATTAATATCTATTGTAGTTAAGTCTTTATAAATATTCGTAAGCTGTTGGTTTTAATTAATTGTCTCAACATAATTAGTAATAGATATTTCCTATTTATTATTATTACATATCTACGAACCCAATGCGAGGTTCATTGTGATTGAATTAATCATTTTAAACTATTCGTAATAATAAAGTGTTAAGATTGAAACTTTGATATATCGACGGTAGTTTAATATTAAATGTATGTTATGTATAACGACATTGGTGGTAACTCGATGTGATTATGTGTATAGAATAAGTAAAATAAAGCCATTGGA